AAATGGGGGTATTTTATTGAGTGGCAGCTTCGGGGTTAAGGGACCCCCCAAAAAATCCAAAATGGGAGTATTTTAATGAGTGGCAGTTTTGGGGTTCAGCCTCCCCCCCCCAATCCAAAATGGGGGTATTTTAATGAGTGGCAGTTTTGGGGTTCAGCCTCCCCCCCCCCAATCCAAAATGGGGGTATTTTAATAAGTGGCAGTTTTGGGGTTCAGCCTCCCCCCCAAATCCAAAATGGGGGTATTTTAATGAGTGAGTTTTGGGGTACAGGGACACTCCCAAATCCAAAATGGGGGTATTTTAATGATTGGCAATTTTGGGGTTCAGGGACCCCCCAAAAAATCAAAATGGAGGTATTTTAATGAGTGACAGTTTTGGGGTACAGGGACACCCCCAAATCCAAAATTGGGGTATTTTAATGAGTGGCAGTTTTGGGATACAGGGACCCCCCAAATCCCATGATGCATATGTAAAGGGCCCCTATTTGGTGTGAAGGATGGGTTTTGGGGTGCATTTGGGGGCCAAAAGACCCCACTTCCTGCAAAGGCACAAAGGGGCCCCCCCAATAAATGCAAAGGAGGAAAAGAAGCAGCAGCAAAGAGAGGGAAATCAGGCAGTTTCTTCCCCCAGGAGGGCTTTCCTTCCTTCCTTCCTTCCTTCCTTCTGGAAGCGGTCAAGAATCTGCAAGGGGACAAAAACAAGACAGGAGTGAAGTCAGCAAAACAACAATAATTGGATTGCTTAATTATTTGTGTTGTCAAAGGGTTTCGTGGCAGAATCACTGGCTTGCTGTGAGTTTTTTGGGCTGCCTGGCCATGTTGCAAAGCCTGCCTCATATTGGACAATTGCACCCCAAAATAATAATAATAATAATGATAATAATAATAATATAATACATAGACTTCCTTATATCGGACAATCCCAGTGCATAATAATAATAATAATAATAATAATAATAATAATTGCATAGCCTGCCTTATATCAGACAATTGCACCCCAAAATAATAATAATAATAATAATGATAATAATAATAATGATAATAATAATAATATAATACATAGACTTCCTTATATCGGACAATCCCAGTGCATAATAATAATAATAATAATAATAATAATTGCATAGCCTGCCTTATATCAGACAATTGCACCCCAAAATAATAATAATAATAATAATAATAATAATAATAATAATGATAATAATAATAATATAATACATAGACTTCCTTATATCGGACAATCCCAGTGCATAATAATAATAATAATAATAATTGCATAGCCTGCCTTATATCAGACAATTGCACCCCAAAATAATAATAATAATAATAATGATAATAATAATAATGATAATAATAATAATATAATACATAGACTTCCTTATATCGGACAATCCCAGTGCATAATAATAATAATAATAATAATAATAATTGCATAGCCTGCCTTATATCAGACAATTGCACCCCAAAATAATGATGATGATAATAATATAATGCATAGACATCCTTATATCGGACAATCCCAGTGCATAATAATAATAATAGTAATAGTAATAATAATACATAGCCTGCCTTGTATCATACAGTCCTGGGGCAAAAAGAAAAATTCAATTATTGAATTTATTATTATGAATTTAATATTATTTATTTAAAACGAGGAATAATATTTGTACTACTAAATTAATCCAAAATAATTATATTATTATGACATAATCACAATTATAATAACCTTATTATAGAACAACTCTTACTATTAATAACAATAATCGACACCTCAAAGCAAATTTAAAGCTGGATTTAAAGCGAGAAAGCGGGTTATATCCTTGAAGGGACTGGACTGACTTTGAAGGAGCTGGGGGTGGTGACGGCCGACAGGGAGCTCTGGCGTGGGATGGTCCATGAGGTCACGAAGAGTCGGAGACGACTGAACGAAGGAACAACAGCATTGTAATAGCAATGGACACTATTATGGATAGTGAGTGGCCTTGGAAACCCAATGGGCAAAGTCACACTCTCTCAGCCTCAAAAGAAGAATAAATTATTGAGAGCACAAACAACAACAACAACAGCGGAGCTTTGTTTTCCTCTTTCCCTTTCCTGCCAAACTGATCCATGGCTTTTTATTTCATAGCCGTGGGGCCAGTCTTCACTCCTGCAAATCAATTATTCTGCAACGTATATTTACAGAACCTTTATGAGTCTTTAATATTAAATCTGCTTTTCCCGGCAAGAGACTCATGGATCTCGGAATGAAAAACAGGAGATTAATACTCGGGATAACTCAATATTGACTGTGTCGCTCAAAGAAGCAAATGCACACTTCTCCAGGGACACGGCTCCCATCCTACGTTCTATTTAAACATTAATTAATTAAAGAGGGAAAATGAAAAAGGGCAAAAACAATGCAAAAAAACAATATCTATTATACGTATGTGTATGTGTGTATATATATATAGATACATATACACATTACTTTTACGTGTATGTATATACATATACATATGTATACAAATACACAGACATACATACAGATTGTTTATACATATATATGCATACACTTTATACACTTATATACACATATGCATATATATATATATATCTATGTAACATACACATTATATATACATACTAGCCCTCCCTGCGTATCTACACATTACTTTTGCGTGTATGTATATACACATTATATATACATATGCATCTATAAATACATATGTATACAAACACATAGACATACAGATTATATATACACATATATACACATACACAGATTATATATACATATATACACATACATATATACGCATACACTTTATATATACATATATATATAGACATACACATTATATATACATACTAGCCCTCCCTGCGTATCTACACATTACTTTTGCGTGTATGTATATACACATATATACATATGCATCTATAAATACATATGTATACAAACACATACATAGACATACATACAGATTATATATACACATATATACACACACAGATTATATATACATATATACACATACATATATACGCATACACTTTATATATACATATATATATAGACATACACATTATATATACATACTAGCCCTCCCTGCGTATCTACACATTACTTTTGCGTGTATGTATATACACATATATACATATGCATCTATAAATACATATGTATACAAACACATACATAGACATACATACAGATTATATATACACATATATACACATACACAGATTATATATACATATATACACATACATATATACGCATACACTTTATATATACATATATACACAAATGCATACATATATATATAGACATACACATTATATATACATACTAGCCCTCCCTGCGTATCTACACATTACTTTTGCGTGTATGTATATACACATATATACATATGCATCTATAAATACATATGTATACAAACACATACATATACATACAGATTATATATACACATATATACACATACACAGATTATATATACATATATACACATATATATATACGCATACACTTTATATATACATATATACACAAATGCATACATATATATATAGACATACACATTATATATACATACTAGCCCTCCCTGCATATCTACACATTACTTTTGGGTACATACATACACATATATACATCTATAAATACATATGTATACAAACACATACATAGACATACATACAGATTATATATACACATACATATATACACATACACTTTATATATACATATATACACATATGCATACATATACACACATACACATGATATATACATACTAGCCGTCCCCTGCCATGCATTGCTGCGGCCCAGTCTGTGTATATATGTGCGTATATATTTGTGTCTATGTGTATATATGTGTGTTTGTGCTTGCGTTGTACTGTAACTTTTATGTTTTGGCTTTTTATGTCTCTTCTGTGTTTTTCAGGGTTTTTTATGAGTGATGGTCACTCGTTGGCCTGATGGGTGTCTTGTGTCCAAATTTGGTGTCCATTTGTCCAGTGTTTTTTGAGTTATGTTAATCCCACAGACGAACATTACATTTTTATTTACATATACACACATATGTACACATTTATATGCATATATATATATACACATATATACACATACAGAAAGACACATAAAGACATATATACCCATGCATATATATATAAACACATATACAGACATACATACTATATATACATAGATACATATGCATATTATATGTGTGTGTGTGTGTATATATATATATACACACACACATATACATACATACACATACAGAAAGGCACATACACACATATACACATATACATACATGTATATATATACATATACATAAATACAGCCATACATACTATATATACATAGATACATATGCATACACACACATACATACACACATATATGAATATGCATACATATATACATACACATATTTTATATTCATAGATATATGTATATGCATATATATATATATATATACATACACATATACACATAAAAACACATACACATATATACACATATGCATACATATATATACACATACATAAATACAGCCATACATATTATATATACATAGATACATATGCATACAAACATACACATACATATAAATATACATACATACACATATTTTATATTCATACATATATGTATATATACATATACATAAATACACATGCATATATGTGTGTGTGTGTGTATTATTAATAATCTGTCCTTGTTTATCTCGTGTTTATCTCGCCTGAGTTTTTAATCTGTTTCTACCCAGTTTTCTTTTATCCATTACATGTAGCTCGCCCATGTTATTGTGATTGTGTTTAGTGTAATTTTATATTGCTATGTTGTCTTTCGTTTTATGTAATTGCGTTATTATTGTTTATTATTTGCGTTTTCGGTTTTGTTTTAATTTCATGTAATTGTTGTTTTGGGCTTGGCCTCATGTAAGCCGCACCGAGTCCCCATCGGGGAGATGGAGCAGAGTACAAATAAAGTTGTTTATTATTATTATTATTATTATTATTATTATTATTATTATTATTATATATTCAAAACGAAAATCAAGCCCAGAAATATTGCAAAACCTCGCCCAGTGCAGATGGGAATGGAGACATTTATGTTGTTGTTCATTCGTTCAGTCGTCTCCGACTCGTCGTGACCTCATGGACCAGCCCACGCCAGAGCTCCCTGTCGGCCGTTACCACCCCCAGCTCCTTCAAGGTCAGTCCAGTCACTTCAAGGATGCCATCCATCCATCTTGCCCTTGGTCGGCCCCTCTTCCTTTTGCCTTCCACTTTCCCCAGCATCATTGTCTTCTCTAGGCTTTGCTGTCTCCTCATGATGTGGCCAAAGGACTTCAACTTTGTCTCTACTCTCCTTCCCTCCAGTGAGCAGCCGGGCTTTATTTCCTGGAGGATGGACTGGTTGGATCTTCTCGCAGTCCAAGGCACTCTCAGCACTTTCCTCCAACACCACAGCTCAAAAGCATCTATCTTCCTTCGCTCAGCCTTCCCTAAGGTCCAGCTCTCACATCCGTAGGTTACTACAGGGAATACCATGGCTTTGACTAGGCGGATCTTTGTTGCCAGTCTGATGTCTCTACTCTTCACTATTTTATTGAGACTGGACATTGCTCTCCTCCCAAGAAGTAAGCGTCTTCTGATTTCCTGGCCACAGTCTGCATCTGCAGCAATCTT